CTCTGTAAATATATATTACTTTTTATATATTATTAAGCGCAGTTTGCAGTTCGACAACCGTTTTATGTCCTAATAATAAATTGAAGAAATTGCGGATAAATGAATTTTCTAGCCAAAATGGAAGTTCGCGCCTCTTTTCTTACAAATGTTGCAAATAAATCCAGAATCGGTTTTAAACCACAAAACTCCAGTTCTGGAGCCAAAATACTTTCCACGTAGCACAGTGGGCCAGAATTTTTTTTCCGTGGCCAAAAATCCCAAAAAAGTCAAATCTTCTAAACTTTTTTTTTATTTCATTATTGAAACAAAGGTGCTTTACTCCACTCAAAAATGTTTCCACTTAATTACTAGAGATAAAGGCAAGCTTGCTAGAACCATTCATAATGGCTTTAAAATTGTCAAATTTTCGCACATTTTTTTTTTTCAAAAATACTCCTCAAAATTTACATAACTTTTTTCAATTAAAAAAGCTTTGGACTATTTTTATTTTAAATAAACATATTAACTTAGTGCTTATAAAAAGTATATGTTTTAGTTATATATTTGTATTTAATTTATTCATAATGTCTTAGAATTGTTGGTATTTTACAGGTGTTTTTCTAAATTTCCTTATCTTCCTTTTTCTAAATGCCACTCGAAAATCGTTTAATTTTCTGATTTTCGCATTTACTAAACAGCAGTTATTGTTCAAAAAAAAAACCCAGCTGCGACCATGTATTCTTAATGATATATTTTTTAGTTCAAAATCGACGACTTTTTTTGCTTTTATAAAAAGACCGATTTAAAGTTAAGGTATTTGTTTAAGGAATATAGTTTTTTTTTTTTTTTTTTTAATTTTATTAAACACATCGAACCGTTATTATTTAAAATAAATTTTATTTTATTATTTTGATATTATCAAAAAAAGGAAAAAAAAAGAAAATCATTTCACTATAAATGCGTAAAAATTGAATATTTAAGTACTCGATTCCAACCAAATGCCGCTCTCTTGAAATTGGAATTAATGATATTTAGGAAATATAACGGTTGTTTAATACTATTTAAAAAAATCAGCTGCGACTAGCTATAACTTAGACTTAAAATTGATTTTGAAATTTCAAGATTTTAGACTAATTTCATTCTTACTTTACAATGCATTGTGACGTGAAAAAATTTATTTGTCTGAAAATTTGAAGTTTATATGATATTGAAGACTAATTAGTTAATAATTGCAGCAATTTGAATAAAAAATTTTACGTTAAAAACTTTAAAAAACCTTAAGCATGAAAAATTAACGTAGAAACTGTAAAAAAAGTGAAATTAGATACTTGCATATACTGTAAGGTTTAAAAAATATTTAAACTATTAGTCATTAACATCCTTCATATAGACTTTTAGTGAACTACATTAACTATATTTTATATTGGTAATATTAAATAATCATTTAAAACTTAGAATTTATTTTTTATTGCTCAAGGTTATAATTTTATTTCTATTTCACAAATTAGTGCACATAATAATTTCGTATAAATCAAATGGTAAAAATAATATAAATAAAATCTTAGTCAGTGTATTCAAAGTCAGCATAGTAATAAAATGGCAAATCAGTGTTTTCATTTTCAGATAATTCGATAATATCATTGTGCTCATTTAAATTTCTTATTTCATTTATGTTTATTGGCTTTAGTTCCTCATTTCTATTATCAAAATTATCATCTAATCCAACTCATTATATTATTCATCTGCATAAATATCGTCATTAGCATCATTTGTATTTTTCTTTTCAGTTTCTTGAAAAAGAAGATTAACTGCGCCTCCATCTAGATTCATTTTTTTATGTTTACATTTTGATCTTGCATAGTTTAGAGATGAAAGAATTGGGTCTCTCGAAAGCATTAAATAATTGAATTGGTCCGTCATTGAAGCTTTTCGATCAAATTTAAGAGTGTGTTGTAAACAAATATTTTTATTATCTTTATTCCGAGCTTCAATTGCTTCTTCAGAGTACATTCCAATTGGTAGCATAAATCTAGATTTTGTCAGACTACTATGAATGAGTAGTTTGTGTACTGAACAAAAATATTTGCTGTTTCCAAAAAATATGTTTCATATTTGGCTATGGTAATTTTTTTATTCAAATTAATGACAGATAGAATAATGTATAGCCTGTATATTAAATCATTCTTGACTCCTGTTATTCGCGAAAACTCTACTTGCTGATGAAAGGCATGATGAGCAGTATTGCCATCATTTGATGTTGCAGATCCGCCTTTAAGAGGCATGTACATAATAAAGCCAATTTTTGCAAACTCACGCTGAACAAACATTTTTTTTACAGCTGCTAATTTTATATTTTCAGGTCTACGTATTTGCCATTTTTTAATATCAAGTCTATAACTTATATGTAGAGTACACTCAAAACATCAAATCTATGTATGTAATGACAATAACCCAAACTCTAAGCTTTGCGAATCTGTCGAACGGATCAGAACTTTATCTAAATTTTTCATTGATTTAGGAGTACATTTGCAAATATTACAAATTTGAGCCGATTTATTGTCACAAATTGCATTAACTGCTTTTCCATCAATCATTGTAAGTTTAAAATTGAATCTTACTTCAATTACAAGCTTCTTTTCAGCTTCTGGTTCCATTGTTTTCTACATCAATAATCATTGCACTCAGACATTAAAGCTTTGATCAGACATTAAAATATTACATTCATCATTGTTGTTTGTTTGGACGGAAAAATCTTTGTTTATACTGTTTTTGGCTACTTGCACCGTCGAAGCCCCATTTGTAATTCAAAGTCATTCCTAAACAGGATTCAAAGATATTCTGTTTTTAACAGTAGTTAGTTGCAGCATTCAATGAACTGTATGGTATAAGAATTCTCTCAGTGGAACTTCGCCTTTCATTCCATTTTCAGCTATATAAATACCATCAGGATAACACTTTTTTTTTCGTTGCAAATGTTGTTATATGTAGGATATATATTTGCATTACACTTAATTGAGTTATTTCGCATAGCTTGATATTGCGTCTTTGATAAATTCATAGCTGTTATTAATGCTAATCCCTCTAGTGACGTATTAGGTACAATTTGCTTGTTTTGATCGAGAATAAAACATTTTGTTTGATTTGCCAAATCTGTATTTGATAAACATTCTTTTAATACATAAAGCAAACTATATCGCTTTTTTTTTAACCCCATTTCTGCTGCTTGTAAGATTTTATCATGATCATGATTTACTAACAATATGGATGCGTGCCGACGTTTACTACGGTAGGACAAATCTTCGTATTTCTGACATAGTCTTCTAAATGACTGTTCATTTAAACAAGAAACATTTAAATCGACGGTTTGTGATGATTGTTCGCTAGGTTGCTTATTAATTAAAGACAAAATTTTATTATTAAGCTAAAATGATTCGCCACTTAAAAATTTGCGCTAATTTCGAAAATATTTTTTGCTAAATTTTGATCGGCATTTGCATACAAATTTGAGAAGAGCTTTTTCAAAACAAGTAAAATCATCATTTAAATTGATGGATACGTTTAATTCGTTTATGAGCATACTATTATATTGATCTACGATTTGTCTTGAAGTAAGTTGTGATGAAATAGTGTCTTTAATTTTTTCAAATACTCCAACCCGAATTGTGTTATTAAACATTTTTAAAAGATAACTTGATTATTTATAAGATAAGAGTTTTAATAATGCTACTTCAAGAGAAAATTTAAATATCTATAATTTAGTGTAAATTTATTCAAATATTTTTATTACTTTCGGAACATAATTGCAATCAAATTGCTGCAATTATCAACTAACTAGTCTTCATATAAACATATAATATCTTATAAACTTCAAATTTTCAGACAAATAAATTTGTTCACGTCACAATGCATTGTAAAGTAAGAATGAAGTTTCAAAATCGATTTCAAAATCGATTTTAAGTCTAAGTTATAGCTAGTTGCAGCTGATTTTTTAAAATAGTATTAAACAACCGTTATATTTCCTAAATATCATTAATTCCAATTTCAAGAGAGCGGCATTTGGTTGGAATCGAGTACTTAAATATTCAATTTTTACGCATTTATAGTGAAATGATTTTCTTTTTTTTTCCTTTTTTTGATAATATCAAAATAATAAAATAAAATTTATTTTAAATAATAACGGTTCGATGTGTTTAATAAAATTAAAAAAACAAACAAACTATATTCCTTAAAAAAATACCTTGACTTTAAATCGGTCTTTTTATAAAAGCAAAAAAAGCCGTCGATTTTGAACTAAAAAATATATCATTAAGAATACATGGTCGCAGCTGGGTGTTTTTTTGAACAATAACTGCTGTTTAGTAAATGCAAAAATCAGAAAATTAAACGATCTTCGAGTGGTATTTAGAAAAAGGAAGATGAGGAAATTTAGAAAAACACCTGTAAAATACCAACAATTCTAAGACATATTATGAATAAATTAAATACAAATATATAACTAAAACATATACTTTTTATAAGCACTAAGTTAATATGTTTATTTAAAATAAAAATAGTCCAAAGCTTTTTTAATTGAAAAAAGATATGTAAATTTTAAGGAGTATTTTTGAAAAAAAAAATTTTGCGAAAATTTGACAATTTTAAAGCCATTATGAATGGTTCTAGCAAGCTTGCCTTCATCTCAAGTAATAAAGCGGATACATTTTTGAGTGGGGTAAAGCACCTTTGTTTCAATGATGAAATAAAAAAAAGTTTAGAAGATTTGACTTTTTTGGGACTTTTGTCCACGGAAAAAAAAATCTGGCCCACTGTGCGTAGCTATAAAGATTTTATTTAGATCATATCCCATTTGCAATGATTTTGCGATACTATAATTTTGCCAAGCAATCAAATTGTGGATTGGCAGACAGATTGTCTAAATCAAAAGCCTCATTCGATGTTTGTACGATTTTAAACCCAAAACATATTTTTTGTCCCCAGACAATTTATTATTCGGTATATTACTAAAATCGTTGCGAGTAGGATCTAGACACAACTGAGACGAAGCAAAGAAAACGAATTTCTCGGAACTGATATAGTTCCGTGGTTCGTGTTTTTATTACAAGTTGATAATTAACTTATCAAACTGTTTAATTTATAGTTTATTCCCCTTTCCATCTTACATTAGACACTTGCCTTAACCCCTAACTTTTTGACAATCTTAATGATTACTGATATTTATTGTTAGATATGGCCCATAATACTAGTGATAGTTCTAGTTATACATTTTTGGCAGATTTGGGGGATCAGCTAACGAAAGATAATCTAAAATCACTTAAATTTTTATTGAGGGATCGTAAAGTACCAGGTAAGAAGGTTTTAAAAGTTTAAATATATGTTGTAGTTTTTAGATATTTTATAACTTTTTAAATATAACTTTGACCATTTTTGGCTGCTAAATAAAATTAAAAAAAAAAGAAACAGTAGAAAATAAAAAATAAATAAACTTCCGGGGCACTGACAATGCCAGGGTGTCTACTATGTGCATAGAGGCCAATTACACAGTTTTTTTCTCTTTGCCAATTAATAGATTATAAATATATAACGAAATATTTTTTTGGCAACATCAGATAGCCTATCTTACTATTAGTTAAATAAATTGAAAAATTAAAAAAAAAAAAAAGTATAAAAAAATTATTTTTTTATTTGTTAAAAAAAAGCTTATCCTATATTAAATAAACATTTTTTTTACTACATATAAACAAGAAAATATTCCTACATTGGAAAGCTTACTTGTTTTTTTAGCTTTGTTTGTATGCAATTTTCTATTAGATTTTTTTTACTAAACCTGATTGTACGATAGTCTGATGACATCAGACCTTTGTACAATTGCACAAATGCACATCAGTTACAAAGAGGTTAAATATTTATCAATACGTAGGTGATAACCACAATGAAAAAGATCAGCTTTAAAAAAAGAGTAAAACTAAGCTGTATATTGTCCTTAGGTAATGGTGTTGTCATCTAGTTTTTTTTATACCTTTGCAAACCTCAAACTGAGTGCAGTTATGATGTCTTTCTATTCTATTCATAGAATCATACTTTCACCAACATATTAAAATTTCTTTGCTTTTAATTCTACTCACCTTTTTCTTACTCCTGATTCTATGCTCTACCTCTATTATTTTTTGATTCCATTTTCTATTTCTATAAATCTCTTATTAATCTTTTTATGAAATAATGTTGATATAACTGAGTAGGTCTTTTTCTCTTTACAAATATATTCATGGTCACTTTTAAGTATTCAGTTATAGTGTTGTACTCAAGTTGTTTCTCTATTCATTTTTATGAACAAAGATCTCCAAATTTCAAACACCATTACTAGTATTATCAGATTCAATCTAATAATACTAAAGTTACCATTAAAGTTACCATTGCTGTTATTTATCTAAATCCACCATTACTATTAATGGTGGATTTAGATAAATAACAGCAAAGGTAACTTTAGATTCAATCTTTGGTGCTCAGTTAATACTAATTTTGATATAATTATTTGTTATAAAAAATTTTAATACATGCGTAATGTAGAAGTAATAAATTTGCTTTATTTTTAATAATCAAAATAATTAGAGTTATAATTAAGCGTAGATACTTAGTTAAAACTAATGAAACTAAAAGGTTTTTTTTTTGTTTAAAAAAAATATTTTAAACAAATTGATTTTAAACTGTAATTTTAAAATCAATTTGAAGATAATAAGTGTGTTATGGTCAGTTAAATAAAAATGAAAATTTAAAATATGATATTTAATTTTTTTTATAATCATGGGAGCTAATGTTGATAATTTTGTAACCAAGTTTAATTTTTTTGTGATTTTTAATAGTTTTATTCAAATAAAATAGATTTAAATTAAATAGATTTTATTCTAATTAAATAGATCTAAAAAATAGATTTAACTTTGCTACTAATCAAATTAAATCTACTCAAGTATGCAGTAGTGGTGAAGTAATAAAGCGCTTACTTCATAAGCAAGAAGTTCTGAGTTCAATCTTTACCATGTCCTCGATAGTACAGTGCTTAACTTGTTTTTCAATGCAGTGATCTTGTTTTTCAAGGTTTGTGTTTTGGATTTGAAGAGTTGAGAAAAAGTAGTAACCATAACTACATAATGTAACCATAATGTAACCACCTCAACTATAGTCTTCTGGGCCAGAGGGAGTTGGTTAAATATTTTAGTAAAAACTCAGTTGAGAGCTTCATTTAAAAGTTATAAGTCATCTAAGTGAGCCAAGGATTTTCAAAATTCATAAAAAATCAATGAACCAAGATTTTTGAAAATTGATCCCTGAGACATCTGTTACCAAAGAGTGTGATTTTTTTGCCTAAATTTTTTTACAGGCATCAATTAAAAAATGTGTATTTATAAAAAAACACAAGGTAAAATAATGTCCATTTATAATTCAAATATCTCAAAAAATCTGGTAAATTATGAAATTAAACAAAATAAACTGCTTTGATAACTTTTTAAAAAATTAGATATTATTGTTAAATAACTATCTATTCTATTATAATATCTAATTTCTATTGAATATAATTAATGTCAATTGTTATAATTAAAAAAAAACAAATAAAAACAGAAATACACTTTACCCATAAAATATTTAGCACTTTATATGCTGTAGAAAACTAGTGGTCAAACACTTCACAATCAAAAAGCTTAAGGTTTTCATCGCAGCTTCTTGTTTAATTCTACTTTAAATTTCAAATAAAATGAAAAAAAGGAAAAAAGAAATAAGCATAGCTTTTTCAACTCTAGTCAAAGACCCCCTTTGGAGTTTTAGCGAGGTAAATAAACAAAATAAAATTTTGCAATTTTAAAATCAAATTAAAATTTACATATAATTTTATATATAAAATGACAATGAATGTTTTAATATATATACTTGTTAATAATGATTGCAGCATCAAATAGTTTTAAAAATTTGAAAATAAATAGAAAAGGTATTTTGATAAATTTAAACAAAAAAAAGTCTAAAATTTCAGTTGCACTAATGACAATAAACGAAATCAATATCATTAGTTGTGCTATTGATAATAAAGAAAATCATAAAAGTTAATATTTTTTAAAATATCAATTCACTCTCAGCAAGTCAGGAATACATGGCAAATGGGAAATATTTCCAAAGCATTGTAATGCAGGTAAAATAGCTAAATGAATAAAAGTTTCAAAGTATGAAGGAACAGATAGGGTAAAACTTAAATAAATGATGCTGTTGAATAATGAGTCTAGGCTAGTTTATTTTAAGTGTAAATGCTTTTAATGAAATCGTCTGTCAATTGATAAAATCAGTTGTTAAACTAATGAAAAAAATTTTTATGATTTGAGTAAGAGCGGATGTTTCAACAAGACAATGCTCTATGCCATAAAGCAAAATCAGTAACAAAATGGTTTCAGCAAAACAATATCAAGGCATTTCAGTAGCCAGCTAGATCATTTGATCTGAATCCAATTGAAAGTGTTTGGACTGTGTTGGACCGAAAACTTACCAAAGAACCAGTAATTTCAGCTGAAAATCTGAGAAAATTTAAATAAGCTTGTTTAATGACTTGACAGTTAAATATTCTTGTAAACTTTTCGTTTCTATAAGAAGAAGATGTTCATTATGCATAAAAAATAGAGCTGGTCACATTTCTTAATAAGGTTCAACCTCAAAACAACTTCAAACCCAAGCTTATGAGCAGCTTTTTTTTTTAATTTTATATATGAGTAATTTTTTCCAAAAAATTTAATATATATTTTTATTGTTTTTATATTGTTTTTCTCTTAATATGTTCCAAATATCCTAAAAAAAAAATTGTGTTTGAAATAACTAAAATTTTTTTATCTTTTTTTCTGTTTTTTATGGTCAATAAAAAAATAATTTTATTGATTCTTTTGAGCACTATTGTTTATATATATATATATATATATATATATATATATATATATATATATATATATATATATATATATATATATATATATGTATATATATATATATATGTATGTATATATATATATATATATATATATATATATATATATATATATATATATATATATATTATATATATATATACAAATAGTATTGCGTACTAAGGTAAGCAATCTGACGTCATACAGAAATAGCCTGCTGCTGGGGGCTTCAGTACATACATCGACTGACAAATAGCCTGACTCGCAGTGGAGTGCTGCTACATCGACTGAGGGTTTGGGATGGGGAAGCAATTGTTTTATTCATCATTCTTTGTTTTTTCTTCTTCTTTTTCGAAAAAAATGGTATAGCTTAAGGAAAACAGAAAAAGTGAGCAAATGCTTATCAAAACATGCTTTAGTAAGTGTATATATATAGTATATAGTAAGTGTATATATATAGTATATATATATATAGATAGATAGATAGATAAATTATATATGTATATATATATATATATATAGATATAATATAAATTAAAAAAAACGTGCTGCACCCTCTTAATTTTTTGAGGGTGCAGCACAACCCTTAAACACCAGACAAATTTCTAATATTATCAAAAAAATAATTACTTACTTTTAAAAAAAGGTTTTAGTGTTTAGTGTATTAAATTAGATTTTAAGTTCAAACTTTCAATTTGATAATAAATAGCTTTAACTTAACGCTAACTTTAACCCACATGCTGAGGCCCACAAATTTGCCTTTCTCAATCTCTAACTTAAATAGTCTATTTTCTAATTCGCTTTCCAGTCAACCCGAATCATTTACCTTTTCTACTCGAATTATGTCATGTTTCTGATTCTAGTCAGTGCTCAGTTTTATTTACATTCACCTTTAGGTGCTTCTGATCATGGTCTGATCTCTCTAAAACCATTACCTCATTCTTCTTTCATCCACCAGAATTATTGTATCTCTTACAACTACTTTAAAGCTGACTGGGACTCTTTCTATGATTTTCTTCATGATGGCCCTTGGCTAGAAATCACATTTCTGATGACCAATGTGCTTCTTACGTAACTTCTTGGATTCAGGCTGGCATGGAATCTTTTATTCCCTTTCTACAATTGCAAGTCAAGCTCACTCTTTTTTATGGTTTTACTTGAATTGCTAATTTCCAATTGTAACCATTACTTTCATATCTATCAGCAAAGCAATTTTCCATAAAATAGACGTCTGTTTACTATTGTTAGAACTACCATTGTAAAAAAGTTTTGACTAATGTCAAAGCCGCAATTCTCAGGTCAGAAAATCTTGTGTTTCACCTCAAAAATTAGACTCTCGTGACATCTGGAGAATCTTTAACAGTATCAATAATAAGGGTAAATCTGTTGTTCAACCTCTATTGTATGGTTCAGA